AATGTTTAAAACTCAATTATTAAAATTATTTAAGTTTGAAAAATGACCACACCGAATGTGACCAGTGCCCATACAGAGGATAGAAAATATTCAATTAAGTTCAAATTATGTCTTTTTTCAATTTAAATTATATTTTTTGCTGTTTAGACACTTAATTAAATTGAAAATTGTTAATACAAGAACTTAAAAAATTAATTTTAATGCTGAAATAATGTTTAAAACTCAATTATTAAAATTATTTAAGTTGAAAAATGACCACACCGAATGTGACCAGTGCCCATACAGAGGATAGAAAATATTCAATTAAGTTCAAATTATGTCTTTTTTCAATTTAAATTATAGTTTTTAGTTGCTTAGACACTTAATTAAATTCAAATTTGCTGATACCGGAAATTATTTTTTAGTTCGATATACAAAAACTAAAACAAATTGCAGCATTTTCTAAATATTAAATTTTTAAATTTGCATTAAAATTTATTTTTAAATGCGAGAATGATTTAAATCTATCACTGTTTAAAAATTTAAATAGTTTTAATGCTGAAATAATGTTTAAAACCCAATTATTAAAATTATTTAAGGTGAAAAATGACCACACCGAATGTGACCAGTGCCCATACAGAGCATAGAAAATATTCAATTAAGTTCAAATTATGTCTTTTTTCAAATTAAGTTATATTATTTAGTTGTTTAAACACTTAATTAAATTGAAATTTGCTATTACTAGAACTTATTTTCTAATTCTATATACAATAACTAATACTAATTGCAGCATTTTCTTATTATTAGAATTTTAAATTTGAATTCAAATTTATTTTTAATTGCGAGAATGATTTAAAAATGTCACTGTTTAAAAATTTAATTAATTTTAATGCTGAAATAATGTTTAAAACTTATTTATTAACATTATTTAAGTTGAAAAATGACCTCACCGAATGTGACCAGTGCCCATACAGAGCATAGAAAGTAATCAATTAAGTTCAAATTATGCCTTTTTTCAAATTAAGTTATATTTTTAGTTGTTTAAACACCTAATTAAATTGAAATTTGCTATTACTAGAACTTATTTTCAAATTCTATATACAATTACTAATACTAATTGCAACAATATTAACATTTTAAATTTGAATTAAAATTTATTTTTAATTGCAAAAATGATTTAAAACTGTCACTGTTTAAAAATTTAATTAATTTTAATGCTGAAATAATGTTTAAAACTTAATTATTAAATCTAAATCTGTCTTATGATCCGACATGGTTAGCAATTCTGAGAGCAACAGACCCTCTTACATCAGTAAACAAAAGCGTATGTGTATTTTTTCATAAAATGGAATATCTATTTTACTAGTATTAATGCATTTGAAATACTAGTATTAATGCATTTGAACAAGGTTAATCTGACTTTTTAAATTTTAAGGTTTATTCTACAATTCTCTCTCTTTCGTCTTTCTTCTTGTTGATTTCTAATATGATTCTTGCTTCGTTGTTCTCATATTAAATTAATATTGAAATTATCTTCTTTATTAAATTGCAGGATGGCTTTGGATGCAGTACAGCGTGCGCATGATGCTGAATTAAAAAATATTAATGAAAAAGTTCGTAGTATTAGTGGTAATAATATAAGCTCTTCTCAAACAAATATCTCTGCCGAACCAAGAATCGATGTACAGTCTACAAGGCAGAGGTGAGAGTACTTTTCATTAAGATTATTTAAATATTTTATTCCAATATATCTGACTCTTTTTTTTTTTTTTTTTTTGCCTATTTTCTTGTTACAGTAAAATGTTGGAGCAAATGAGTACAGAATTAGCTCAGTTGTCGGCATTATACTCGGCAAAATGTCTGGAGAATTCTCAGCTTGATGAGAAGATGTCTTTATTGCTGGCCGACAAAGAAAATCAGTCATCGTTGAAGTATTTTAAATATTTTAAAGCTTTCTTTTGTTTTTTTTTTCCTCTTATTTGTTTTGTCTCATTTTTTTCAGCAAAATTTTCTTATTATTTATGACAATTAAAACTAGATTTATCAAATATTTTAGAGGATTTTTGTGTTTTTTTGACGAAAAAAAAAATTTTCAAATTTGTAAATTTTAATGTATTTTAATGTGAAATTTTTATTTTTAGTGATGTAGAAACCCAAAATAGACGCTTGCATCGTGAATTACGGCAAAAAGACATAATAATTGAAGAGCTGAGGCAGACGGTGGCATTTCTGGAACGTCGAACTGCTGATTTGACCGGTGAAGAACTTCCTGTTAAATATGGTAGGTTCATTTTTTCTAATGTTTTATGTGAATGTAACAGTGATCAAATTAAGCTTAGGATAACTTAGATATATTTGACGAATGTAAGTTATGATATGACCTTTTATCGTAATCAGCTTGAACCATAGGGGTCATCTTTTAATCTGTTAATGAGATAGAAGTCCATCACTGGGTTGCTACAATTCACTTTTACTTATTTACTTACACACTTTTCAAGGCTTTTTTGGCTGCAAGTGCAAGGGCCCTTTGGCATTATTATCATCCTTCGCTTCTTGGTAATTTTATACATGTCAATGCATCACTTCAAACTTATTCCTTTTTTTTTTTGTTGTTTTTTGAAAATTACTAAAATCTTCAAAAAATTCTATTCAAAATTTAAGTTGTTTGCAGAACTGCCAAAACGACAAAATCGGTAAGCTTTAGTATGTGTAAAAATGTTTGAAATTGGCTTGGCATTTTAGGCTCAATTTGATTTTTTCTAGTACTAAGTTTAAGATCACCAATAATTTATTGTAAAATTTTTCAAAATATATCCATATTTCTAATAAAATTTCTATCATCTTTCTTTTCGTTGAAGAAATTTTCAAATTTACCTTCTTATGGTGATCATAGACAGTAACATAATTATTCTTCTTCAATCCTGTGATGCATGCTTGTTATTTCTAAATTCTATATTAGTAAAGCATGTTGCCTGAACTTTATTAGCTGTTGTCAATTCCTTCTATCAGCCTTCTTTTCCTGCCTAATTGCTTCATGCCTTCATTTCAGCATTGATTTGTAAAATGACATTTTTGTGTTTTTTTTTTTTTTTTGGTTAAAATTCAGTAGTTTCTTTCTTTTTTCATTATTTTGATGACAGAAAGGATAGCACTAGTAAAAATTTTATAGCAAATGATTCATTCCTTTTAGCTTATCAACAATATGCTATAAAGTTACAACTAGTGCTATCATTTTTGTGTCAAAATGTTTGGAATACCTCTTTTGACAGTATCACTTTCATATTTTTTCGTTGCAGAGGAACGCGTAGACGACGTACCGTTATTACGAGAGGAATCGGTGACACACCGAACACGTCAAACTCACTTTCCAACTCTTCAGCAGCAGCAACAGCAACAACAACAACAGATAGCTCTCAGTTTTCCATCACTCAACAACAGCGACAGCATAGTAACACAACCAACAGCAGTCGTTTCATCGATTTGGCATCTTCCATCCGATCAAGGGGTCAAATTTCGAAGAAATCGTCAAGTGACATCAAAAATGACTTCAAGACGTAATGGTAAGTAACTAAATTAGTAGTATAAAATTCAAATGGAATATAGAATTCAGATGAGGAAAACTCATAAAAATTAATATATAACTTAAATTTTTAATGGAGAATTGCTATGTTTACTGTCCAACTTAACGGTTACGACTTTATATATTGTAACAGTTATTCTGTAATCACTTATTGTTAACAAATAATCAAATTTAAGATGTTCGATTCCATAGCAATCCAGCGATACCAGTAAGTGAGATGACAACCAATTATTTAGCCAGTGAATTACGACGTTCAATGATTATTCCAGTGAGTGAACGTCGAAAGTTCTTTGAAACGATCGCTGAATACAGTCATCCTTTCTAATAAAAAAATGATATTTGATAACACTTTAAAAAGAAAAAGCAAAAAATATTTCTTTCCTATAGGACAGAAAATTCAAATTGTCACTTATTGCAGTTCAGTTTTTTTAAAAAAAAATGACAAAACTAACAAATTGAAGCGAATAAAATTACAAGGAAAATTTTTAATAAGAACATTGAATTAAAAATTTCCCACTTTTAAAGTTCTAGTCAATTTGTCAGAGAAATGAGATTTATAGCAGAGTAATAATGCATACTGGGATAAGAAGCTACAAAACTTTAATTTTATTCACATTCATTTAGGAAAATATTTCAGGAATTTATAAGGAAATTATTTCATCATTATCTTGTAATAAAGGCAAATCTTTCAGTCTGAGATCTTTTCTTTCAAATATTTTATCACTTTTCATCTTCTTCATTCATTTTAATCATCCCTTCCCATTCTCTTTTGATCTCGTATACTTTTCGCTAAGAAAAGCTGCAAAAATTAAAGGCAAAATTAGTTCTTATAAAATTTCATATATATTAGTCATGCGCGGTTTTTTTTTTTTTTTTTTTTTTTTCCCAACTGGTCATTTATGCCACTGGTGATTTTCTGATGTGAAATTTTGATTTTGTTCAGTTCAGGCCTGCTGTCTTGTTTTTGAACGTGTAATAGATTAATTATGTTTACATTTTCGTGCAATGAACTCAGAATCAAACTTTTCTCAGAAAATGGCTAGCATAAGGGTACATCAATAGAATTATGCTAAAGTTATGAATTACTTAGTTCCTAATTATACATTTTTTTTTCCACTCGATTGAACTCGATGAAAAGTAAGGAAATACGAATTGGCAAATATTTCTTAATGTGATATTATTCCAAAACAACAAAATATCTTTCTTAATCTGAAGTAATTTAACACACTCTCTACTCTACTATTAATAAAAATTTTGAATCTCACATATAATTTTATTCATAATGCTGGAAAAATTTAGTATTTTTGAAGAGTTCTCCCAGACTACAATAAGGAAATATTATTAGCTATACCCATGCTTCGATTGTTCTTAAATCAAAATCCATAAATGAATTTAAATTCCATCCCTGAACATAGCTAGCTATTCATTAATTAAATATATTGGATGCTATCCACCTAACGAGCAATATACATTTGTTGTGATTCGCTTGCTGTCTGTATATCACTGTATAATAAATAAAACTCCTCAGTATAACTTCGAACACGCATTTAAATGCATTTAAATAAATTAATATGTATGTTATTATTTAGGATGAGAAACGATAATTGTACTCAGTTTGATTCAGTTTTCTTTCCCTCTAACCTCTAATTTTCAATTCAGAAGTAATATCGTAATTTGTTTAGAGAACTATTAATTCCAAACCTATTAACTATCCACAAGAATTTGTGTTTCCGAAAATTCTCTTCCAGTATTTGATGCTCCTGAAATGTTGAAATGCAAAAACATCAAAAGAAACTTGAAATCAATAAGATTATTATTAAAGTACATGAGGAATTATGAACAGTACAATCATTACAAACAAAAACGGGAAGTATCAAGACCGTCCAACTATCCAAAATGACTGCAATCAACATGCACAAAAGAATCCTACTAAATACTGACTTGAACATTTTATCACAAGAATTCGAAATCGAACAAAATCAGAGGATCACTAAGATATACAATATATAATAAGGGATACATCTCATGTTTACACACATACCAGTCACTCAATCCTGAAAAATTCAGAAGTAATATCGATTAAGTCTTCTCCCTCTAATTTATCAAGTCGATTTCCAAAATTAATTTCTTCCAATAAATGCAATAAATAAGGAAATATCATCGGAAACTAGCTGATATAAACGTTCGCATTAAGATCACTTTGGACAATCATTATTTGTTTTGGAAATACTAAAATATGAAGATGAGATAGAAATTTTTGGGAGTAAAATTAGTACAAAAGTGAACTAAATATGCGGACAAATGTTATAACTTAATCATTCGCTAAAATTCAGAGCAATCACCAATCTCTTCATCTTATTTCTATTTCCTGTCATAGAAACATGAAATGAGTCACTTTTTCTTCATTGCTTTCATATGATTCAGTGCTGAGCCAGCCTTAAATCATTCGATTTGAGCCGCATTAAAACTGTGAGACAGCCAGATCTCCTCCTTTTTACCATCAACGTGTTTCAAGATGCATTTTAATGGCTAAAAAAAAACCAAATCTTCAAGACTCGAAATTTTTATGGAACCATCAACAGTGTCAACTAATTTTTTAATGCGTAATCACATACGTTATGTAGGTATAATTTCACATCCTGATAAGGAACTAATATCTTAAAATAAAACAACACAAAAGTAATAGTGTTGAATAAAGAATTTACAAGAAAAGGTTGTTCTAACCTTGCCAGGTGCAAAATCATTCAAACCAACAATTGATATCTTGTCGTCTGGCTTAACTTTACTGTAATCATTTGGATCAGCAAACGCTTTTCAGAAACTGAAAACACCTGATATATTCAACATCAATTAATAAGGAATTTATTGCCTCCTATGTAAGATCCACTAAATCAAAATACTTCAGCTAATTTAAAGTAAAAAGACAACAAAATTTGAATGGAGTTTGAAACAATCATTATACGTTTTAAAGTATTATGTGACTATATTAAAAGCGGTCGATAAGGTTTCAAAAATCTTATTATTTGTGGTGAAGCAAAAGGTTCTTGACAATGTTCACTATTTTCATTGACTACAACGTTGCCGTGTCCTGATGGAGCCTGATAATAGTTCACACCTGAGTCATAACCTTTTGGTGGCAAGCTATGACCGCTTGGTGCAATTTGCAACTTGAATTTGCTACCTGAAATAACATTTCCTTCAACTGCGAAATAAAAACATTTAAGCCAAAATTTGCAGAAGTACTCATCATATCAAAACTACCAAAAAACCGTAGCTTCTTCAGTGTACCGAAACCAGACACTTTCATCTTTCGAAATATCTTCTAAACCAGCAATCATTCTTTCAAGATATTAGCTTAGAAAATATTTTCTGTTGACATGTTCAGCTGAACAAAAGTGATACGTAAATGTAAAAATTTTTGAGGGAATATAGTACTGATATACCACGCTATATGTGAGTATTTGAAAATATTTGTGTCTCCTGTCGATCTCACAGCTACGTAAGCAGTCAAAATTTATAAAGTCACGTTAAAAAACTTTTAAAATCACAGATGTCTAGTAGAATGCATATTAGCAAGCATAACAGAAGCCTAATAACTAGACATAGTCCTATGTGTAGTCCAAAAATTATATAAGTGGTGAAATTGTGTCACTATTAACATTTTATTAACTTCAACAATTTCAAACAATTATAGCAGAATTTTTAATCAAAACAGAAATCAAACAGAATTAATATATATTAATAACTAACGATGAAAAGTGGTAATACATAATTACTGCAAAATGATTCAAATGAATTGGTATCACAACAATAAGAAATTGCTAATTCTGTTAATAGCAATTAAAAACAATAAATGGCTGATTAGCTTGAATCAATGCATTTTTATTCAACAACATACCTCAAAAAAAAAAAAAAAAAAACGATTCGTTGGAATAACCAAATGATATTCAGGCATGTAATCGAAACAAAAAGAATCTTAATACAACCATAACTTAATAATAAATAAAAAAAGGATACATAAGAACCATGGACGTGAAGATGATGGCAACCAGCATAGTATGACGACTGACATCAGATTGGGATGTGTTAGAGAGATCGAGAATATGATCAAATGATATTCCCTGTGAAGGGCAAATGGGTTGAATGGTATACACCGAGTTTTCGTGCAAATTAAGTAAGATAAGATATTTGCATATATTCTCCGAGCGCGAGAGAGTATTACTTCAGTAGGAAATGTTTTAAATGATTCTCATAAATGATTTTTTCAACTTTTTTTTTTCTTAAATTGTAACTGGGTTAAAAAAAAAAATTGTAGGGTATTTGATGACTTAAAAAAGATGAGATTGTGCGAAATTTTCCAAAATATAATCGAGAAATTAATTTCAGGAAAAATATCAATTTTTGTGCGACATGCTGAGATTCATAGCGCCGTTTATCGAGTGCATCAAAAGAAAGTAAGTAGATATTTGCATATATCCCTTCAATAGGAAATATTACTTAAGTAGGAAATGTTTTTATAAATTATTTTTTCAATTTTTTTTTCTTAAATTAGAATTGCGTTAAAGAAAAATTGCAAGGTATTTGATGATTGATATAAGTAGTATTGTGATCAATTTTAATATAATTGGAACGCGTAATTTGGCATTGTTTTATCATCAATTTGCATCTGATTAATTTAATAATTTTATAGAGCGGGCTCGCGTGTCGCCCAAAATCCAGAACGTCGGACTATTTCCGACGTTCTGGTATATTTGGAGCGTGAACCTGTAATGCTCCAAGCATTACAGGAATATATGCGCGAAAGGGAGCAGGTAAATTCATTTTTCTTTTTTGTCATCAATTAAGGATTATAGAAAGAGTTATACTTCTAATTTATATGAAGAGTTATAGAAAGTACTTTCTTAAAATGTGGTCTTTTCAGATTGAAGACCTGCTCCTAACCTGCTTGGAGGATACGGAGAGGAGGTCGGAGGTCGAAGGGCAGGATGGAGAAGAACCGGTGCCTCAGGAGCAGGTACTTTACGAAGAAGAGGCAGAGTGGGCCCCTCTGCCTGAAACTAATGATACTGATGAGGCCGAGAATTGGCCAACGGAAGCAGAGTGGGCTCCTCTGCCGGAAAGCGATGAAGAAACTGAGGCACCGGTGGCACCAAATGCCGTTGCAGAACCGGTCGAATCGGTTCGCGAACTCGTCCTGTAAGCTTTGATATCTGAAATAAATGTAGTGACCATGTAGTAAACAAAGTAATAACTAGAACAATTGCTAACTTTTTGTTAATTTTATCTGCTGAATAATTTAAACCAAATTTGAAACTATTTCAGAAGGACGAGGACGATTAATGTTCCGGTTCTGGCGACGCATAGATCGGTTGCGGCAACACCGGAAGAATTCCACCCCGCTGATTTAGGGGATCTTCCGGAGCAGCTCCGACGGGAGTTGCTAGTGCCGCAAGCAGAACCATACACGGTGGTTCAAGCGAATGAAGAGAGGAACATCGGTAATTTATAATTTTAATAACGTTAGAAGATGATTTTATGTTTGTAATATTTTAAAGGAATATAATCATACTTTAATCTTTTACTGACAAAATCATATTTATGAGTGAAATGTTACAATGTTCTTCTTTATAATGTTTCAAAACGGTCACAAATTTTCCATCTATATCGATGCTTTAAAAAACAGTTTGTACTTCTTTACTATCTTCTAATCACTTCTATTTTCAGTGTGTGGTATCTGCGGCAGGCAGTTTGGTACATTGAAAGGGTGGCGTATTCACGCCTCGAGAATGCATAAGCAGGATGGTAAGTACTTCTAAGCGGAATTTGCAATTAGTTTTTAAAAACATTAGCATATTTGATTTATCTAAATGTTGGCGGACTAATTCATTATGAATATTTCAGGTTTTTGCGCTCGTTGTGGCCATTACCTCCTGCTGCCACCCGGATTCACGGCCGCGCAAAAGAGAGCGGCGACAGAAGTTCACGCTCTCGATTGGGCCCGAGAGCGTGTGCGGCCGTGATCAACGAAAGGCAGGTCAAGCGCCGCAGACTTGACTTAGTGGGGAGAGAAGAGGATGCCAACCACCTCTTCATTCCAGG